ATGATGGTGCAAGTGGCCCTTGCCATGCCTGTGGGAGGCTGAGATGGAATTGCTGGCTGGTTGTTGCATGCATTTGGAAGAAGATTCCTCTGTCGTGCTTCCAAATAAATACATCTCTCTCTCTTTTTTAAGGTTTATTTATTGGAAAGGCAGATTTATAGTGTGAAGGAAAGACTAAGCTCTTCCATCCACTGTTTTACTCCCCCAGGTGGCTGCAATGGCTGGAGCTGAGTTGATCTGAAGCCAGGACCCGGGAGCTTCTTCTGGGTCTCCCACAAAGGAGCAGAGTCCCACGGTTTTGGGCCATCCTTGACTGCTTTCCCAGGCTACAGGCAGGGAGCTGGTTGGGAAGTGGAGCAGGTGGGATTTAAATTGGCACCCATATGGGATCCTGGCAATGCAAGGTGAGGATTTAACCACAAGGCTATCATACCAGGTCCAAATAAATAAATTTTTAAGAGAGAGAGAGAGAGAGAGAGAGAGAGAGAGAGAGAGAGAGAAATTGCCTGTAGCAACTTTGTGATTCTCATATGCGTATCTGAAGCATGGATTTCTGCATGGAAGCCAGGATGATTTTGTTGGGATAGAGAGGGAATATTCACGAGGGAACACAGTGGATTAGAGACGGATTTCAGAGAGAGCCATCCCACTTAGGAAATGACTGTGAATGTGCTGTCTGTGGGGAGTCCTGCCCAGAAAAGACTAATGTAGTTCTGCGTTGCAGAGCAAGCCTCAGAATGTAGCTAACGACTGTGAGTTGCACCAGCTCTCCTGGGCTTCCTCTGCATGCCTGCCCAAGGTCTGTTGCATGTGATACTTGGGCACACGTTACATTTTCTTTACTCCTTTTTCATTTTTTCTTCTCTTCCCCGCATCCCACCCCTTGTTTTAAAGGGTTAGCATCATTAAAAAAAAAAAAAAAACAATTCGACGTGCTCTGTATTTCACCTTGACTTCATTTGCCCAGAGTGGAGGTATCAATTGTGTAGAGTTCTCACTCTTTCTATGCATTTCTTTGGCTCATCTGCCTCCATAGCCATACCTTACCACAGTGTTGACTGTGTACACATGGTACTTGTCTGACAAAACATCGAGTCTTCCTCCACAGCCAAGAGTTGTCATTCTGTACAACCTGCATTAGTGAAAGATAACATCTCTCAAAAATCTTGGTTCTTTAGGCTTCTGCAGTGGTGACCCATCGTGGTTTTATTTTTTAAAGTGAAAGGCAGAATGATAACAGAGAGAGAGAGATATTGCCCATATGCTGATTCGTTCCACAAATAGCTGCAGCAGCAAGGCCGGGGCCAAGCAGAAGCCAGGGACTTGGAACTCAGTCTGGGTCTCCACTTGGGATACAGGGGTCCAAGCATTTGGATCATTTTCCACTGCTTTCCCAGGTGAGATAGCAGGGAACTGGATCAGAAGCAGAGCAGTGAGGACTTGAAGCAGTGCTCTGATAAGGGAAGCCAGCTTCCAGATGGCACAATGCCAGCTCTTCATCATGTTTTTTGGTGATCTTGTCCAAAGGCTTTTGTTCTCTGTCATGGTATTTCAGACTGCAGGTACAGAGCTGCAAGTATACTACAATCACCAATCATCATGATATGCATTTGCATGTTTGCTTTTTGACTTATTTCTTCATGACACGGTTCATCTGTTCATAACAGTCTCATCTGTATGACTTAGTATACCTGAATGTTCAGGCTTGCAAAAATAAATATTATTGTGTCTGTTTTCTTGTGTAAGGTGGCCTATGAAGTGTTCTTTTGTGTATGTGTGTATATGCGTTTAAGGATTTATTTATTTTTATTGGAAAGACATATCCAAAGAGAGAAGGAGATACAGAGAAAAAGATCCTTCGTCAGTTGTTCACTTCACAAGTGGCCCCAACAGCTGGTGCTGAGCTGAAACCAGGAACCAGGAGCCTCCTCTAGGTCTCCTACAAGCAGGTGCAGGGTCCCAAGGCTTTGGGCCATCCTCTACTGCTCTCCCAGGCCACAGACAGGGAGCTGGATGGGAAGAGGAGCAACCAGGATATGAACCGGTGCCCATATGGGGTCCTGGGACATGCAAGGTGAGGATTTAGCCACTGAGCCATTGTGTCAGGTCTTCTGTTGTGTTTTTATGTTTTGAAAATGTTGAAGCCTTTTCAAGAGTATTTTAAGATAATTTTTTCCCCAGGATTTTGATCCTTTGGGATTTTACAGATTGGGTTTTTTTTTACTTTAACAATTTCAGTCTTTTGAAATATTAGTATATGGGGGTACAATGTGTGGGATTGTGTGTTTCAGGGCCATGTTCCAAACTTTCCAGAACTGTTTTGATAAACACAAGCCTGACTGAAGGAGGACAGTAAGATACTAGGCTGTGGTGGAGAGTGGCGGTGGGGAGGTTTAAGTGTTGCTGGAAGCCAGCCAGATTACAAACAGTGAATGATACTTGGGCTATCCAGTGTCATGTGAAGGTGTGATAGTCACAGCGCACCAAGTCTGATGAGTGTCTCTTTAAGGCCTGCACTGTGCTTCTAGAAGACAGATTTTTGCATAGCTGCACGCAGCTAGATAGGAAGATGAACTGCCTAGTAATGACAGCTGTTATCCAAAGAAACAAATCACCTGAGAAGGAGGGAACTCCCTGGGCCTTGGAGGCTGCCAGCAGTGGGCTAGGGAGCCTGGCAGGCTGGGTAAGGGTTCCCTGCAGTTGGAAACAGGTTTTTCTGTCTTCCAAGTCTGCTGCCAACTCTACAGCGTCAGATAGGGTTGGGCTGTGTGGGCTAGGGTGCCATCCTTGGAAACACTGACAGCCCCTGGTCCACCAGTCTCACCCATTTGCATGTTGGCTTGTTGGTATCACTGCCTGCCTTTCAGAGGTTTGGCCTCCCAAGGTTCCAGCAGAACCTGCAAGACCTTGAACACCCCCACCTGCTCGGGGCTGATGTTCTTCCTGCAGCCAGTGTTTGTTCTGGTCAAGAGCTTCCTCAGGGCTCCGAGAATGAGACTGAACTCTATCATGTGCATGTGTTGGTGGGTGACAAGGAGGCAGGGACCCAGAGGAATGTCAAGAAGGCCCCCCCACCCTGATCAGTGGGGCCGAGGGTGGCACAGAGGGACAATAAAGCCAGGAATCTCTGAATTCAGCTCATGAGCATGGCTGCTGCTGCATCTTGCTCAAGCTTTGGTCTTGAGGCCACTGGGTAGGCATACTGATCTGGAGGGTAGAAGTGGAGGATGCATGCACAGGAGCAGTGCACAGGGTGAAAGGAGGCCAATCCAGGTGTGCCCAGGGCACTCTGTGTGAGCTGTGAATGGCTTCAATCTCAGGAGCAGTACATAGAATTCTTTGTGGGTCTGGAAAACCCAGAGTGGGAAATGGCCTGCAGAATCCAAGCTTTGCAAGCAGTGGAATTCTCAAGAGATGCAGATAAAAATGGCAATGGCCATCGGGACGATGAGAGGTAGGCAGATGGGGGCAGGACACGGACATCGACCAGCCTGTAAGGACTGGAAACAACTGCATCGGCATGTCAAGGTTGGGAATGCCGTGTAGCAGGTGCTGGGACATTGCAATGTGGTAGGTGCTGGATATATGTGTGGCACCTGCCATAATCCTGCCCATGAAGCCGGAGGACAGCATACAATATAGCACATACTCTAAAAATCTGATTATCCTTTTTTGGGAGCAGCGGGGGCGGGGGGAGGAAGCAATTTCAAAACAAAATACAGAAAGTTTGCCAAACTAGGAGGAAGGATACATTCCCAGTCTGCTTAAAGGAAGTGGCCCATCCCTCCCACCCCAGGTCCTTTCATGAGAATCTTCAAACACAAAGGCAATCGTAATCACATCCTTTGGCACTTTGGGGTACTCTTGTACTGCCAGTTTCCCCAACCTTTTTCCCAGACAAAAAACCTCAATGGGGGCCTCACATTGCCATTAGTGGCCTCAGTTCCCCAGTCCCTGTGGGTTTGGAACAGTTCCCCAGGTCTTGCCTGGGCTTGCAGAGTTCAGGAGTGGCTTGGAACCAACCATGCTTTAGCCTGCTGTTGCCTACTGTTTTGATGCGGGCCCGGAGTCCCTGCCAGAACCATCACAGAAGGTCGCCAGCTGCATCTCAGGGCAGTTTCTCAGGAGGTGCCTGGAGCCCAGGGTTGTCATGCCCAATGACGATGACCCCTTGGGCCGTTTGGTCAAGGAGGTATCTGTGGGCATCTGTGCTCTTCTCCTTTCTGCCACCACTGGGGCATCGTGGGGGAGGTGCTGCAAGTATGCAGGTGTCCTCACATGGTTGCACAGTGAACCTCTCCAACGCTGGGTGCTCTGGGGTTGAGCTGAGTGCAATTCTACTCCACATATTTGCTTTATGAACAAATCTGCATTTCACAGCCCATGAGGTAGAAGCACGTGGCTGCATTCCTTTGTGCCATGGGTCAGTTTCCCACCAGAGCCTGCACAGGCCACAGTGGGCTAAATGCTGCCTCCATACACACCGCCTGATGGCAGACATGGCTCATAGAGGTCTCACCCAGACAGCCCACAGTGCAAAGCCTGACAGGGGAATGGTTTGCAGTCTTTCAGGGGCTCCCCATGGAGTTTGAGCAGGGAGTGACATGTTGGCAACACTGATTTAAAGTAAGCAAAGCCCCCAAACAACATGAGGAGCAAGAGTACCCAGGCTGCTGTGCAAACAGCTTGGCTAGGGGCAGGTGCGCTGACTGAGACACTTGGCGGGCATGTTCCCCAAACCAGGCGTGGTCTTCTTTCTTAAGCAAGTCAGTAGGCAGGAAAGAGAGGGAGGCAGGGGAGGAAAAGCAGAAGGGAGGGAAGAAAGAATCAAGGGAAGAGGAGAAGGAAGGGAGAGAAGGAGGCTGGGAGGAAGGAAGGAAGGGGGAGAGAAGAGCAGGCCTGGGTTCCTCTGAACACCCTAGGCATGGTGATGCCATGGGCTCCTGGGGGCCTTCAGCCTTGCCAGTTCTCTGTCCCCGCACACCCTGAATACCCCATACCTTTGGCTTCCTTGAGCAGTTCCTCTGTGAACTTGACCACCTGGACCACCTCCACCCACGGGAAGCCTCTGCCTGCTGCAAAGATGATGCTTTCATAGAGGGTGTCCAGCAGGATGCTTCTGCGAGAATCTCTCAGTTCGTCAATCTCTTCCCAGGTCAGGAGCCGCCGCAGGTGCTCCCGGCCCTCTGGCTTCTGTGTGCAGGAGGTGATGGGAGTGGGGTTGGGGAGTCACCAGGCTGTGCTTACTGGGAGAGTGCCTGAATTTCAGGGGTGCAGGCCTGCTGGGAAATGTGCTTGGGGACTGAGGGAGCTGTCTGTCCACTATCTCGGTCCTTGCTCCCTTCCTTCCTCCACAGCGCAGGCCTTGGGTTCAAAATTGTGCCCCTTCCTCTCTCATTCCTTAAACTAAGTTGGCCTCCCACTGAGCCTTTTCTAAACCAGGTAGCTGCCCCAAAGATGTTGATCCAGCAATGAAACATATTAATGGGTTAATGAACATCAGAGAAAAACCTTGATATGGCAAAGCTTTAGCCAAAGGAGTGAATCTTAGCTGGTGAAAATTCAGGCACTTGGGGGCCCATACCATGATGCAGTAAGCTAATCCTCCACCTGCTGTGCCAACATCCCATATGGGTGCTGGTTCATGTCCCTGCTTGTGGCCTGGGAAGCGGTGGAGGATGGGCCAAAACCTTGGAACCTTGCACCTGCTTGTGGCTCCTGACTTCTTTCTGGCTGCGAAATATCAGAGTGCTGGCTATTGTGGCCATTTGGGGAGTGAACCAGTGGATGAAAGATCTTTCTTTCTGTCTCTCCCATCTTTGTAAGATCTGACTTCCAAATAAGAATAAATAAGTTTTTTGTTTTTTGTTTTTTTTTTAATTTTCAGGTGTTTATTCAGCCTGTGAGCAAAAGACAAGGGGGTGCCTTTCTCCTTATCTGGAGAATGCCTTGCAGGTCACCAACAGGTTTAGGAAGAGCAACGCCACTTATAGGGTGGGGGTCAGGAGAAGTGTGGGGTGGGGCTGACATGGTGACACAGTGAGTTAAGCCAGCACCTACTATGCTGGCATCCAATATGTGGACTGGTTCAAGTCCTGGCTGCTCCACTTTCAACCCAGCTCCCTGTTCATGTGCCTGGGAAAACAGCAGAGAATGGGTCAATTGCTTGGGCCCCTGCCACCCATGTGGGATGTCTGGATGACGTTTCAGGTTCCTGGCTTTGGCCTGGCCCAATCTTGGCTTTGTGGGCATTTGGGGAGGAAGCCAACTTGATGGACGATCACTTTGTCCCTCTCTGCAACTCTGCCTTTCAAATACATTTTTAATAAATGAATAAACTGCAAAAAAAAAAAAAAGTGGAAAGTGACATGAAGGGAAAAAAAAGCAGCCCCCAGACTATGTGAGCAGTTGGTAGCATATGAGATTTGTGGCCAGGTATTTGTGCACCAGACCTCTGGTGAGAGGGGCTATGGGTTGATGGTGGGGCAGTGGGGTAGAACCTCAGGGAGCCCTCGGAAGGTGTGAGGATTCCAGGAGGTCCAGAGTCGCGTCCCATCCTTGGGTCCCAGGAACCTCTCTTCCTCTGCCTGACCCTCTCATCAAAGCGGCAGAAGCCCCGACATGGCCTTGGCACATGGATGGTCGAGTCTGGCAGGCCTTAATAGTCCCCCCCAGGGAGGTGAGTATTTTCTCCTCCTTCCCCTGCACAGGCTCTGCTAAACCCAGGCTGTCCCCATGATCCCCAAAAAAACCAGCCTGCAAGCTGCAGGGGCTGCTGACAAGCTCTTGGCCTGGCACCCTGGGCTCTTGCACCCGTGCTGTGTGCTGAGTCCTGGCTGAAGATGGGAGCCCCTGGGATGAGCCACTTGCAGCACACACCTCATCCCTCCCTGCATTCACCTGAGCACACCTCCTTTTGTAGGTCCTCACCTGACACTGGAAGACTTCCTTGACTCCCTGGGCTGTTAGGAGCACCATGGCCTATGTCCAGTCACTGGCCAACTTAGCCAGTCCTGACATAGGGTATCTGGGCCGCTAGGTGGGGGTGTGCCAGCTTTGTGAGGTCATGAAGCTGTCTCCTGCCTCCCACACCCTCCTCTCAGCCCTGCCCAGGGTCTCTTTTCTACATGGAGCCTCCAGCCCTTCTCTCTTACCACCAGGCTCTCTTGTTTCTGCACAGCTGGCTCTTCTTCAGCATATGTGTGCGCTTTGCTTGCCATACCTGCTCCTAGCTTAGGCTGTGGTTTCCGTTCCTGCCGAACTGGAGGATTCCTCTCTGGACAAAGCTTGCCTGTGCTTGCTGTCATCATGCCACCACTAGAGCTCTAGCCCCCTGGGGATATGGCCTCCACTCTGCCTTCTTTCCTGGCTGGTGGCATCTATGTCTCCGTGCTTCTAGCATTGTGGCTTTGGTCAGGGGTACCCCAAGTGCAGAGCTCAAGCACTCATATTGTGAGCTGGCAAGTCCTGGTTCCCTTCTACAGTAGTTAGCTTTACCCTGTCTCTTGGAAGTCCCTGGTGCCCATGGGTCACCTGCCTCAACGTTCACATTAAGGGCTCCAGTAAGGAGAGGCTGGGGACTGGGATGGGGTCAGCATTCAGGTCTCGTGGCTCTCAAGGTTGCACCTCCTCTATGGGGACTAGGCTGGGAGATGGTCCAGTGTCTTTCATCTGTCCTGCTGGTAGCCGCCCACCCTCTCTACCTGGCTACTTGATCTTGGGACTCATTTCCATGACCCTTCCAAAAACCCAGGGTGGGGGTGGAGGGTGGGCAGCTGGGTTGGAGCCACCTTGCAGATCAGAGACAAGCAGGAGAAGTGGCTCAGGCCACTTCTGCCTGTCCTCCTTTTGGTTGTTTTTGTCACAGAGGGACCAGACCCTCAGGGGCTGTGTTGCTGGGCCTCACATTACTTGTCCCTTCTGGCATCCCTGGCAGTGGTTTATCTGGCTGCTCTCTGCCTCTCTCTCCTCTTCCTCCTGCTGAGCCGCCTTCTAACATCCACCCTCCCCCAAGGCTGGCACACTTCAGAGCATTTCAGTTTCCCACCCCAGGACACACACATTCTTTAAATCATCCATTGCCTTAAGAGCATATAGTGGCAAGATATGAAACATGCAAATGTACCATTTTAACCATTTTTTTTTAAAAAGCACATTTATTTATTTATATTGGAAAGGCAGATTAGATTTATGGAGAGAAGGAGAGAAAGAGAGAAAAATCTTCCATCTGCTGGTTCACTCCACAAATGTCTGCATCGGATGTTGCTGAACCAATTTGAAGCCAGGAGTCAGAACCTCTTCTGGGTTTCCCACATGGGTTCAGGGACCTAAGGGTTTGGCTCATCCTCCCCTGCTCTCCCAGGCCACAGCAGGGAGCTGGATGGGGAGTGGAGCAGCTGGGACATGAACCAGCAATCATGGGATACCGGCACTTAAAAGATGAAGATTTGGCCATTGAGCCATTGCACTGGGCTCTATTTTAACCAACTAAGCAAGCAGCCCAGTGGCGTGAAAAGCATTCCCGCAGCTGTGCCACCATCTCTATCTGTATCCGCCCATCCTTGTTCCATGCCCTGTCATGACACTGCACCCACTCCCAGCACCTCTGGGTCCTGCCTCCCCATTGCCCCTGGCCTGCTTCCTGTCTACTAGTCTGTTCTCTCTGTCCGCATCACTGCCACCCAGCATCTCTTGCCTCCCTCCACCCTGATCTCCCCTTTTCCACACAGTTTGCCAGAACAAGCTTTCAGGAAAGTGTGACTAGGGCCTGGGGTTTGGCAGGTAATGCTCAGGTTTGCATCATGTGAGGGGAGGGGAGGTCACACATTGGTTGCGTGTGCTTGTCACTTAAGATCTCTGAATTTTATTTTATGTAAATAAAAAACCTTCCACTTCCAACACACGAGTGCAACACTGGGCTCAGGTAGTTTTTGCTTTTTCAACCATCCATGGCTGCTCACAGAACAAACCCCAAAGCCCTCATGGGATTTACGAGGCTCAGTATAGCTCGGATCCTTCTCATTCCAGCCCATCCTGTTCACTGTGTTCATTGCCTTGCAACGTCAGTGGCATGTGACTTGTCTCTTTCAAGGATTTTGCTGTCTTTCTTTTTTTTTTTTTTAACAACAACAACAACAACAAAAGAGCAAGAGAAAGAGAGAAGGTTTCCATTCATTTGCTCACTCCCCAATCCCTGTAACTGCTATGCTAGGCTGAAGCCAGGAGACTGACACTTCATCAGGTCTCCCACGTGGCTGTCAGAGACCCAGTCACTTTTGCTAGCATTTTCTGCCTCCCAGGGTGAAGCTGGGAGTCAGAAACTGAATTCAGATCTCTTGTGTGGTTGGCAAGAAGCCAGCTACCATTTTTTAAATTTAAGGACTGATTTTGTTTATTGAAAGGCAGAGTGAAAGACAGAGTGTGAGACAGAGAAAGAATCTTCCAACCACTGGTTTACTCCCCAAATCACCACAAAGCTTAGGACGGGGCCACTCCAAAGGCACGATCCCAGAACTCCATCTGGGTTTCCTACAAGGGCAAGAAGGGTTGAGACGGCACCATTAGTCAGCTGTCAGAACTTGAACTCCAGCCTCTCCTCAGCCACCCTTGCTGTCAGCAGCAATTCCTGTGGATTGTACTGTCTGTCCTTCTTCTAACTGAACTCAGATAGGTTCTCCAGATTGGGGGTGGGGTAACAAGGTGCTCGACTGGGGCTGCACTGCTTCCAGAGGCAGAGCTTTTTGCCCTGATGTGTAAGTGGAAATTTCTAGATAAAATATTAGAAATCAAGGGTTCAATGAGAGACATAACCAACTGGAACATATTTTTTTATTTTTTGCCTTTTTGTTCTCCTTCCTACCTAGGATCAATGCCAAGGCTGAGGCTTCAGCAAGCATCTTGAATTAGGAACAAAAGATCTCATCAGAGAGGCTTTGACATCGACACCTGTAACACTGCAGAGGCCTCAGGGTGTGAGCTACCTTTGAACTCCTCATTTGATGGCATAAATGGAAGCTTCTCCATCCTCATGAGGGTGATGGATCAGGAAAAGCCTGATAGAGGGGAGCCACGGAGGACTGTGCTAGGGGAGACTGCCAGAGGGTGAAATAATGTTGGCCAGGGTGGTTTTCATCAAGGAATGGAATCTGTAGCCAAGGCCAAGAACTTTCATGAGTTTTTTTTAAGATTTATTTATTTTCATTGGAAAGTCAGATATACAGAGAAGAAGAGAGACAGAGGAAGATCTTCCATCCGATGATTCATTCCCCAAGTAGCTGACATGACTGAAGCTGCACAAATCCAAAGCCAGGAGCTGGGACCCTCCTCCAGGTCTCCCACATGGATGCAGAGTCCCAAAGCTTTGGGCCATCCTCAACTGCTTTCCCAGGCCACAAGCAGATAGCTGGATGGGAAGGGGGGCTGCCAGGATTAGAACTGGTGCCCATATGAGATCTTGGCGCATGCAAGGCGAGGACTTTAGCTGGCAGTCTACCACACTGGATCCCTCATGAGGTTTTGAAGAATATTCTGCGCTTGTCATGGCCCCATGATGGCTGGATGTTTCCCAATCTTTTGTCTTGATGGGAAGTTTTATTGCTATTCTTTTTCTTTTCTGCCTATGCCTAGGGGCATGTTGGGGCCAGGCGTTCAGAGTTTAGATCTCTGCCACAGGGACCATGTCTAGACTTGAGAGACAACGAGTGCATCACCAGGACAGCTTGTGCCTACCTGAGTGGAATGGCTGAGGGCATGAGCCTGGGAAAGCTGACAGTGTGTGCAGACAACAAGTAGCACAGGATGCTGGGCTGCTGTAGTGTTTATTTTCTGTCCGGTATGTCTTCTTGGCTCTTTTCACCGGAACCCCAATTTTATTGGACAGAGTTCCATTTTTTTAAAAAAGATTTATTTATTTTTATTGAGACATTAGATCTACAGAGAGGAATAGAGACAGAGAAAATATCTTCTGTCCACTGATTCATTCCCCAAGTGGCTATCATGGCTGGAGCTGAGACTATCCAAAGCCAGGAGCCAGTTGTTTCTTCTGGGTCTTCCACACAGGGGTTAAAGGTCCCAAGTGTTTGAGGGCCATCCTCTACTGCTTTCCCAGGCCACAAGCAGGGAGCTGAATGGGAAGTGGGGCTGCCGGGATTAGATCTGAACTGGCACCTATATTGGATCGTGGCATGTACAAGGCAAGAACTTTAGCCACTAGACTACTGCTCAGGGCCCTGGACAGTTTTCAAAGTGACGTTTTGATGCTGCCTTCCAGATTGGTGAGGTCAGGTGACATGATCCCTGGGAAGTTTCTAAAGGCTTTGGGGAACCCATTTGCTTTTTTTTATTCCTTGCTTTCTTCCATTCAGGAATGCAGAGAGGATTTTTGGAGCAGCAGTGATCATGTTGTGGCCAGGGATTCCCGTGCGAGGAGGCAGGATGCTCTGCATCCGAACACAGTGGACTCATGGTGGCAAAGGGAAGGTGTGTGCCAGTTGGCTTTGTGTTACTATCACTGAATATTGAGGCTTAGCTCAAGATCCAGAGGTTCACATTGGCACTGGCATTCTGTTGCATCTGCCCACTCTGCATCACGGACACAGCAGATAGCATCATGGTGGAAAATCGTATGATAAGGGAGCAAGCTAAGGAGCAGGGAGGGAGCAGGCTGGCTCTTTTGTAACCATTAGTCAAAGTCTCAAGAGAACTACAGAGACCCCCTCCTCCAAAGGCAACACCCCCAGTGACCATGACCATGCCAGGCTTCGGCTCTCAGAGGTCTCACTACTTCTCCTATCACCCGTGTGGCTCTCAGAGGTCTCACCACTTCTCATATCACTCAAACTTTCAGAACATGAGCCCACCGGGGGACACTGTGAAACCCTACCCAAACTGGAGCATTGTGAGTGGGCAATCAATTTCATATGTCCCATAAACATGGACTCCCACCAGGACAAGAAGAACCTGGCTGGGAAAAGAAAGAT